TCTCAGTCATTACCACATAATTCTCACTAAATGAAATTAGTCTCCATAATTAAGCTCCAGATCATAGTAGTGAAGCAGTATTACTAAAGAAACTGCAATACTGAAAGCATTTAGACTATGCTTATTCAATGAACATTTACTGAATGAAGCTTGTATTTAGAGAACAGTGTAGATGTTTAAATACTTATATGAAAATACACATAGGTTTTGTGTTTAATAGAAATTTCTATCTATCTATCTATCTATCTATTTGTCAATCTATCTGTCTATCTATATATGTACACACACACACACACACACACACACACACACACACACACACACACACACACACACACACACACACACACACACACACACACACACACACACACACACACACACACACACACACACACACACACACACTGTTACAACTGTGTCAATTTCAGGTGAATATTTTTCTTGTCACTGCATAATTTGTGAAAGTGACAAGCAATCTAACGGTTTGGAAATAAATATGTGAATATTGTTTCCATAGAAATTTGTATAATGGAAGTACATTGTTTCCCAAAGTAAAAGATTTTTTAACAAATGTTCCAATATATCTGTACATATTGACTATTTTATTCAGAGATTATAATACAGTGTCAAGAAACTAATATAGAGATAAATGAATTTGAAACCTGCAGTATTTCTAACCTATAAAAGTAGTCTATCACAGGGGTGGGTTGTCATATTAGATTAGAGGGACTGGCAATAAGGACAAGGTGTTTGTCTTGGCCAGGGTTGATAGGCCTACATCTACTACCACTCTCCTGTCATCAGCAATACAATGGGATAATAACAAGTACAACTGACAGGGTACCCAGGTCTGGTCCGTGGATGCAAGATTACAATATGAAGCTAGCGATCTAGCCTGGGAGTATACCAGTGTCAATGTTCCTAGATTACACAACCATGGTTCGAAAGTTTGCAAGTTATGGACACAGATTCACTTCATATACCCTTCACTGGTCAAAAGAAAAAGTAACAAGTCTTGACTGAGCTAAGAAGCGTTGATCATCATTGTTGCGGTCACTTCTCAGGCAAGATTGCAAACTTATGGATTAGTTAAATGAGCCTGCCACCCACTCTACTGGTGTTGGTCTTGTAGAAAAGGAAAAATGTGTGTTCATATGGTTGTTTGATAATACATTGTCACAATAGG